GGATTTTAGAAATAGAGCAAAGGATTACCAGCCTACAACCCACACCTCAAGAGAAGCTAGGAAACAAGGAGGATCCTAAGAGAGTCATACATGGTCTCCCCTCCCCAGAGAATGGGAAAGGGACAAGATCTCCTGAGCACATTGGGAGCATAGGGGGGTCAGTCAGAAGAAGTTAGGATAAAGAGAAGGGGAAAAGAGGAGGGTGGAGGAGGACATGAAAGAGCAGGAAGATTGAGTCAGGGGAAGAATACAGGAGAGCAAGAAAAGAGATACTTTAATAGAGGGAGACATTATAGGTTTAATGAGAAATCTGGCCCTAGGGAAATGTCCAAAGATCCACAACGATGACACCACCTAAGAATCTAAGCAATAGTGGAGAGGCTACCTTAAATGCCCTTCCGTGATAATGAGATTGATGACTACCTTATATGCCATCCTAGAGTCTTCATCCAGTAACTGATGGAAGCAGAAGCAGAGACCCAAAGCTAAACACTGAGCCTAATCCAATTGTAGAAAGGAAAGAGTGATGAGGAAAGGGATCAATACCATGTTGGGGAAACCCACAGAAACAGTTGACCTGAACAAGTGGAAACGCATACACCAGACTGACAGCTGGGAAACCAGCATAGGACCTACCCAGACCACCTGAATGTGGGTGTCATTTGGGAGGCCTGGGCAGTCTATGGAGCCTCTGGTAGTGCATCAGTATTTATCCCTAGTGAACAAATGGACTTTGAAGCCCATTCCACATAGAGGGATATAATGTAGGAAATTAGCAATACGGAGGCAGGTAGAAATACAAGGGATTTTAATAGGGAAAAAGCCTTATTTACAGAGTGACCTAGGCAGCTGGCAGGCAGCAGTCTATACAGCAAGCCGAAAGTGAAGATGAAACCGAAACCAGCCACCTTAATGACCCTCACTCTACATCAGCCTGACCACGCCCTTGGAAGCGTGGATACAGGCACACCTGCATCCAGCCCCTAAGCAGGCATGGCTACAGCATCCCCTATAATTCCCCTTTTAGTCTAAAAGAGGATTAAAACTTAACAGTGTAAAGTATCCAAAATTAACAATCATAAAGGTGACATATAAGAAGATACAACAATCTGCTTATGTCACATCCTAACTATCTATTTTAACTAAACCCTAATGTCATCTGAAAGAGGTATCCAAGCCTGAACACCTCCTTCCAATCCCAACCATAAACAATAGGAAGCTATCCCTAACTAGGTATATACACTATCCTAAGTGACAACAATGGGGAAAGGGGGCGTAGCATCCTCCAAGTTACTTCCTGCCGAAATGGGACAGTGATAGCCTTGTGGGGTCCTGTAGGAAGAAAATGTTAGTATACTATCCAGCCCATGTTAGATGGGATTTGCTTGATTGAAGATCTCGCTTGAAATCCTCAACTTGATTGAAGTCAGTACCTGAAGCTTTGGCTGGAGAGTCAGTTGAAATGGAGCAAGTTGGATTTAGTGCAGTTGAGGAGGTGTGGCCCATTTTCTTTCCAGGGTGTCCAGGGATTGCTGTCAGGCAGGTCTTCATTGGCTGTGTGGGACTCAAACATAAACAGCAGAGAAATGTTTGCTTGTGTATGTACACATACTGGGAAAGGCAACGATGGGAAAATAACAATTATGAGAGGGTGTACACCTTGAGAGAAAGAGTTAAGTAAAGACAAAGACAGTCACCAAATTCTTATCATATTCTGTATTACATCAATTGGCTTCTTGATACAATACAGAAACTCTAAAATTTAGCTAAACAACGTGTAACATGGGAATTACCAATATGGAGCCAGGTAGAAATACAAGGGATTTTAATAGGGAAAAAGCCTTACTTACAGAGTGAACCTAGCCAGCCAGCTCCGAAGCAGTCTGTACCGCAAACCAAAAAGTGAAACTGAAAGCGAAACCCAGCCACCTGAAACTCTCACTCTACATCACCCCCACCCCACCCCCCCCCCCCCCCGCCGGGGGGGGGGCGGAGCCACACCCCTAAGCGGGCAGCTTCCCCTACAATTCCCCTTTTAGTCTAAAAGAGGATTAAAACTTAACAGTGTAAAGTATCCAAAATTAACAATCATAAAGGTGAAATATAAGAAGATACAACAATCTGCTTATGTCACATCCTAACTATCTATTTTAGCTAAACCCTAAAATCATCTGAAAGAGGTGTCCAAGCCTGAACACCTCCTTCCAATCGCAACTATAAACAATAGGAAGCTATCCCTAACTAGGTACATACACTATCCTAAATGACTACAATGGGGGAAGGGGGCGTAGCATCCTCCAAGTTACTTCCTGATGAAATGGGACGATGATAGCCTGGTGTCACGCAGGCAGGCTTGGTGCTGGAGGAAGAGCTGAGACGTCTACGTCTTGATCTGCATGCAGCAGCAGCAACTGTGTCATACTAGGCAGAGCCTGTGCATACATGAGACCTGAAAGCCTGCCGCTACGGTGACACACCTACTCCAACAAAGCCACACCTCCAAATAGTGCCACTCCCTATGGGCCAGGCATTCAAACATAAGAAGTCTATGGAGACCATACCTATTCAAATCACCACACCTGGATTGCCTAAGTGAGAGTCATTGTAGATACTCTCTCTCTCTCTCTCCCAGATTGCACAAGAGGACAAAACCAGTTCCCAAAAGTTGTCTTATGACCTCTGCATATGCACACACGTACATGCACATCACTCATGCAGACACATGCAATAAAAATTAATTTTTAAGTTTTATAATAGAAAGCTTAAAAGCGGCATTATTGCAGAAATCAGGCAGAGCTCCTAAACAGTGAGAGAGTTGCAGAGAAGATTAAGACTCTAGGATATGATGGGAAGCATTCCAGCCAGAGGGGCTGCCACGGAATGGTTTGTCTAGAGGCTTTTTTATAGGACTTACTGCAGAAACTAGACAGATACCCCGGGGCATACTATGAGCCAAGCCAATGAGGGTTCGACATGTCCTCTTAGCCTAACGTGGGAGATGACCCTGTACTGCTCACCCATTAGAGGGGGACCATGCCCATCTCTGGAGGGCACCTTCACTGATAGCCCTGGCTGTTGTCAGCGGCTGGTCTTGCAGGTGTTGCACCCTGGCAAGTTTGCCAGCTGTTAATTAGAAGTCAACCTGCATTTACCATCCACCCTCATGCACACTGCTCTTACCATCACTACCAAGAAGCAGCGGCAGTTTTTCCTGGTTACTTTGTATGTAGCTCTGTCTGCAGGGCTGTCTAAGTTGGTCTCCTTCCTGAAATGGGTAAAAGCTTCTTAGAAGCCATTTCTGTCTACAATTGAGAGTATGGGAAAGGCAACATCTTCCCTATGTTTCTCAAGAGGGACTTCATGGGAGACAGCCGGAAGCTGCTAAGGGCTTGGCTTCCGGCAGCCCCATCCTTCCATCCTGCCTAGTCAGCCAGGCTCTCTCCCATCCAGCTACAGGCACTCTTACCTACCTCCATAGCATTCCCAAACTCACCATTTCAGCCTTAACAGTCCATCAGATCTGTTTTTACTATACCACCATCACACCCTGTGTAGATTAGATCCATCCAGATACTGCTCAACTGTTCCCTTTACTCTTGTGAAGAAAGCTTGATTAGTCTTTCAGGATTATCCCATATCAGTCCCCTGAACTGTACTCTGTCACATCTTAAATGTTTGTATTCACTGACTGTTGAATGGCCTCACGTCACCTACATCACAAGAATACTGTCCAACTGATACTCAATCCCTGTGATACTGACCAGTGAATTCCACACTAAAATCAAGTAAGTCCATTTATAAGGGAGAAATAACTAGACTACATCCAGCTTGTGACCACACATACATAGTCTGTACTCTAACTTCATACCAACAACAATACTCTAATTTAGGACACAAACAACAGAACCCCAGCTATAGCTCACCCATGCAGCAGAGCAGGAGAGCTGTGGTCAACTGTGGGGCCAGACACTGAAACCGCTTAAACCATCCCAAACAGCAAATTCAGAGCTGTAAGGAAGGCTGCTTCTAGCTCTTTCTGGTTCTAACCAGAGCGTCATGCAGAGACCACACAAGAGCTGTTGGGGTCTATGTCCTGGTGCTGAGAACTTCTGGATTTTAGAGTCACAAATAAAAGTCAGTTACAATCTGTTGTTTTAACAAGGTAGTGGCCTTTCTGTAAAGAGAAAAAAATAAAGTATTTGAATATTAATTTTAGAGCTACTTATAAGAATTTTTAATGAAATCTGTTATTTTCTTATATTAAAAAACTAAAATATAAACCATGGAAGTGGCAGCACACACCTTTAATCCCAGAACTTGGGAGGCAGAGGCAGGTGATCTCTGTGAGTTTGAGGCCAGCCTGGTCTACAGATCGAGTTCCAGGACAATCAGAACTCTTATACAGAGAAAAACCAAATAAAAAATGAAAAATAAAAAATAAAGCAGGACCCCAAATGATACTTTTTTGTGTATATTCAGAGTTCTAATTTGCTACTTTCAATGTATCTCTCTCTCTCAAATATCACTGCACAAATACAGTGGCTGCTTACATGAGGAATGTTTCATGTGTCAATTTTATTCAAGATGCCACCAGGTCTTTTATTTGCTTCCCAGTGTCAAGAGTTCTAGATGTCAGAAACACCTCCACCAGCACATCTGTGTGTGTGTTCCTGCCTCCCCTTCAAGTCAAGCTATACTACTCAGGTTCTACCTGGGCCAGTGTGACTTTTCCAAAATGTCTGTTCAACGCTCTCTATCAGACAGATTCAATTATATATAGCATTTTAACCATACAAGCAGATTTTAGAAAAACATTACACACTTAAATTATAATCTGCACATTATATTACCTCTTCAAATGTGTCATCAAGTTTAGATCAAATAATAAAAAGAAATATGATAAATATATTTCAATTTTATTTTCATTATAAATTAAGGCATAAGAAAAAACTGAGACCACACACTATATACACATGAAACTGAGCACAGAGAGATGCAAATAATTCATATAGTATAAGCTTTAATATATAAATTAGATGTCACTTTAGCCATTGTTAGTTACCCCAGTCTAAATTTAACATCATATATCAAAATACTAAAAAGCTAATCAACAACAAAAAATAAAACCCATTGAATATAGGTATAGTGTGGGAAAATACATTTTTGTGGCTTTACACAATCTAAATTAATCCATTCTATACAATAGTTTTCCAAAATATAAATGGTACTTTACATGCAATAGAACATACCAGCTGGATGCCCTCATATAATATACAGAAAATACCCTTTAAATGAGACTGGTTCACATCAAAGGGGGAATGTAAAAAAAAAGATTCTACCTTAACACAGTTTCAGGTAAGATTAAAGAAACTTAAAGTCTCTACTTCCAATTAGCATTTTTTAAAATGAAGTCTGCTATGATTTTGTATTTTCTAATTATAACACAAACAGAAAACAAAGCAGGGAAAGATGAAAAGTGTAAAGTCCAGTCCTTTATGGATTTGAACAGGAGCTCTGCCTGTGGGCTGCACTGAAGCTGCTTCTGCCCAGTCCTCTAAATGACTTCTGCCACTCTGCTTCTGCACAGTAGTTAGGTGAGCCCTCCTGTCTTCATCACGCCATTGTGTAACCATAGCTGCCACAATGCAGTGCCACCAGGAGTCTGTCCTTCAGTATTTCTTTACTGGGGTATTCAGGTAACTTGAGCATATTGATGCTTAAAAAAAAAAAAAAAAAAAAAAAAAAAAAGACTACCATTAGACAGAGAATCTCTGAAATGTCTTCTTGTTTTATCTAGCAGTGAAAACACTGCTCATAATTAACATAAAACCACTCTCTCAAATTTGCATTGAAATTGGAAACCCTGAAGTGGTATTTAAAAAGGAAGGAAAAAACTGTTGCAGTGCAGTTGCTCTCAGAATGCAAATGTAGTGCATGAAAATAAATGTTCAGCTTAAAAAAGTAATGGCGATGGTGATATACACGAAAGAGATGATGCAACTGATAATGGCATTTTAACTTTAGTGACACTCAATTAAGTTTTAGGGGGTTTGTGCCTCCCTCCCAAATGGTTCCTGCTAAAAAAGGAGCAAAACTATGTAACCACTGATTCACTTGTAGTTCCAAAATTCTGAGGAGAGAGATGAGTGCAGTTTCCTTTCATTACGAATCACAGCAGACCATGTGCGGCAGGCAGCCAGGGTTCCCGTAATTCTGCCACCGCTGCCAGAATCAGGCAGTCCTCTCATCCCATCTCCTTTGCTGTGGGAGTCACTGAGACCTTAGACCTTCTCTCTGCCAGGAACCACAGCCAACACATGTGGCACAGACCCAAGTAAGTGTAGACCTCACCCCTCATCAAAGAAGCTTCTTCTTCTTCTTCTTCTTTTTTTTTTTTTAAAAACAGCAGATGGAGAGCATGACAGAAAAAGCCACTAGTCACAATGCAGACAACAGTTGACTGTAGGGTGCCCAGCCCCAAGTGATACATCTACTAACAACTCCTGCACCTAAGATTCAGGGAATATCAAAGAAGAGGGGCTAGAAAGACCATAAGAGACAGAGGAACCAGGAAATCTGCTGTGAGACTATGACATACAGCTATGACAGGGAAGCAGCCTGTCACGAATCTCAACAACATGGCTGCCTAAACAAGACCTGAACAATTCCAACAACAGTTGGCATCCCAAGTGGAGGGGGAAATCTCACAAGGCCCTACCCATAGATGAAGAGCTACAAGCAAGTAACTGCTGAGAGGGAGAATTAAGTCTTCGCCAGGGACGCGCTCCCTGGCTGGTTTTCCAATACCAACAGTCAACCCTAGAAACACAGAAAATCAATACTGATTGTAGTAGATTGTAGTCTTCTGCATTCATTTATATGTGTATTCATTCGGCAACATTAAAGAGGCCCCATGAATGTTGGAGTGAGGAGGAGTATATGGGAGGAATAGGAGGTAAAAGGGGGAAATTATGCATTTTATATTTTAATTAAGTTAAAAAAATACCTTTTCAAGGATAATGGCATCATAACAAAGCAATTCAGTATAACTACTGAAGGCTTTGGTTATTTCTTTTTCTTTATTTATAGTAAATTTAACATTTTTAACCATCAAAAAGGAAATACAGCAATTACCTTTGATCATTTAAAATTAATAAAAATGCTTCACAACTCATTTAAATAAGTTAGTTTAACTTACCATGTGCTGGAAGTTGGTAAAAGATTTGGAGTATATGGCACAGCAGCAATTGTGAAGTTTTGCAAACCACTTCCACCCATAATATTGGCAAAACCACCATGCGGGACCCTGGAACTAAGAGTTTGTATCATCAGCTGTGACCATGAAAGAAAATCTTAGTCTCATAGACACAAGTTCTTTGTCAGGGTAAGAATATATTCAACTCTAAAACAATGACAAAATACCATTTTTTAGCCTGAAAACTCCCAACTCATTCTTGTCTGTTATTTCATGGCCAGTTGTAAGTGTCCAAGTAGAAACTTCTCTATGCTTCCATCAGCTAAACTGTACTTTTAACTGGCTACCTGATGTGTTTATGATAATGTGCTGGCTAGTTCTGTGTCATTTTGGGAGGAAGAATCTCAACTGAGAAAATGCCCCTACCATACTGGCCTGTAGGCACACCTGTGGTGCATTTTCTTGATTGATGATTAATGTTCGAGGGCCCAGCTCACTGGGGGCATTGCCATCTCTTGGCTGGTGGGACAGGGTGCTGTGAAAAGGCAGGCTAAGCAAGCAGCACTCCTCCATGGCCTCTGCTCCTGCCTCCAGGTTCCTGCACTGACTTCTTCGCTGACAGATTCTAATGTGGAAGTGTAAGCTAAATAAACCCTTTCCTCTCCAAGTTGCTTAAGGTAATGGTGATTTATCACAGCAACAGAAATGCTAAGACAAAAGGTTTGCTTTGTGTGCCTCCCTATTAAACTAATACTCTCAAACATGTCCTATTTTACATTCTCGAATCAGTGGGATTTGTATCCATGAGATTAGCAAAACTGCCTGGCAACTCATAGCTATTAAATGTTTGCTGAATAAATAGGTTGTGGTTGTTTGCATGTGAATGTCCTCCATAAACTCATGTGTTTAAATACTTGGTCCCCAGCTGGCGTTATTTTTGGGAGTGTTGTGGACTTTTAGGGCAGTGGTTCTAAACCTATGGGTCACAGGGTTCACCTAAGACCATCCGAAAACACAGATATTTACATTACAATTCATAAGGGCAGCAGGATTACAGTTAAAAAGTAGCAATGAAAATTATGGTTAGGGGCCACCACACCATGAGGAACTGTATTAAGGTCACAGCATTAGGAAAGTTGAGAAGCACTGCTTTAGGAGGTAGAGCCCTGCTGGAGAAAGTGTGAAGGATGTCGGTGAGGGTCAGTCTTGATGCTTACAGCCCGGCCCCACTTCCTGTCCCTGTCCCGGGAACTTTTCTGTTTGCTGTCACACACCTCTTCCCACCATGACCAACTATCTCCCTCCTGGCACTGTGGGACAAAGAAAAATCCTTCCTCCTTACATGCTCTAATCCAATGATTTCCTTCTTTGTGAAAACTACCTAGGCACAAAGCATTTTTCCTCTACTGTTTTTCACAGTGGGAAAACAACAACAAATACTGGTATTCATCTTTCCAAATACGGAAAAGAACAGATATACAATGTTTGTGGTACATGTGTGTGCTCACCCTGTGCATGTACATGTAGAGGTGACTTCAGGCATCTCCTTTATTCTCTGCCGTCTTATTTACTGAGACGGTGTCTCTCACTGAACCTGAAGCCCATCACTTACTCTGTGCTGGTTGCCCGTGCCCACTGGTACTAGGGTTATGTGCATATGCTAGCACACCCAGCTTTCACATGGGTTCTGAGGATCCAAATTCAGGTGCTCACACTAGTACAGCAAGTAGTTCATCATAAACCATCTGCTCTGCTATCAAATATTATTTTTTAGCTGTTGTGTACAAAATTTAAGACCACAAGAAGGCTAAAATTTAATGCATAATATACCAACTAAAATTTTTAATCCTGGGTAGACAGCTACAGAAAGTCTAACTACAACTTTTCAAGTTCTATGCATTTTAAAATAAATTATTATTTCAAATTACTCTGTGAATGTGTCATGATTAAACAAATGAATCCTGGAGGGGAAATGTATTGCTGTGAGCTGGGGATGCAGTCAATGGAAGTGTACTTACTCAGAAGACACAAGACTGAGTGTTGTAATTTAAGAAAAGCGGTGCTTGAGAGAAAGACACCATGCAACAGGGTTCAAGCAGAGGGGTTTTCATTGGGGAACAGGATCATAAAAAAGGAAAAGGGGAGGGGAGAGACCAGCCTCCAGAGACAGAAGCAGCAGGAGAAAGGACAGAGGAAAAAGGGGGAGAGAGAGGAAAACAGACAGAGAGAGGGAGACAGAGAGGGAGAGGGACAGAGGGGGAGAGGGGAGGGATGGGAGCTGGGCAGAGTCCTTTTAAAAGGACTCTGTGTGTACAGGTGGTGCTCTTAGTGGCTGCAGCTGAGGGCGTGTCCTGTCAGAACCCCAAGGACAGGCCAGTACAGATGCCTGAACACTAACACTGAGAGAGCCCTAGCACCACAAGAAATATGGGGAAAAATGACTAAATCACAATGACAAGCTATAGTATCTCAGGAATAAATTAGGATATTAGTATACATTTAATGTACAAATACTAAATTGTACTTTTCACATCTTTTAACTGCTATCATATAAAGTAACTGGGCCTCACTATAGCATTTTCACACATATTTCATTATATTTTGTTCTTATTCACCCTCCCCATAATTCTTTCCCCCCATAATCCCCTCCTCCTTGCTAGTCCCCTCCCACTTCCGCATTACATATAAATCGTATTGCCTTCTCTTGCTTCCCTTCTCCCTCCTTGCAGACTTCTCTCTCCCATGGTACTCTTTACTTTCATGGCCAGCATACATAAATATTTAACATAATTTAAATTTAGATCCTGCATGAGAGAAGTCATGTGATATTTTCTTTTTAACTGATTTATTTTCTTTCTTTGCAGCTTTAAATAAAATTTCATTTTATACACACACATTTTAAAAATTATTTTAATGGAATGAGTCAAATGTGAGCAGACTTAAAGGTTTTCTGATACACAAATCATAGCATGCAGGAGGCTGTGCATGCTGCTTGAATCCTTGCTATTTGGGAACATAAGACATAAGGCAAAAGAAACTTTGAGTTCAAGAGCAGCCTGGGCAGCATGGTACCAATGTAACTCAGTACAATTTGAAAAAATGTTGACTGGCAATAGCCAAAACAATCCTGGGAGGAGCGTGAAGATGCACACAGTTTGTATTTAAATATATTATAGAAGTATAGTCATGAGTGTTATGACAGACATGCAGATGGATAAACAAAACCCAAAAATATGCTCCACCAAACATCATCTAGTCATTTTTTACAAAATGCAAACAACATGCAAGAGGCATGCAGGAGACTCTTGTTTAAGCCTCAGTACTGTACATAACCAGCCAAAGTGGCTGAAATCCCAGTTCTCTGGATGCTAAGACAAAAGAATCAGAACTCACTACACTGCGAGTTCAAAGGCAGCCTGGTCTCGTGGTCTCGATAAGAACCTGTCTCAGTGACCCTTCTCACCCCCCTCCCCTGAAAAAATTCAATGAAGAAAAGTGCTCACTCAGCAAGATGTGTGGGACAGTTGGATTATTTGCTATAGTAATTTTAATTGAAGCTGGACTATTACTTATACCTCATAGAAAGATGAGCTAAAGACAGATCAAAGACCTAAACATCATTATAACCAGACTACAAAAACTCTATTGGGAGTAAGAACTCATACCCAGAATCCCTAGCAAATGCCTAAAAACATAACCCAGGCTGCCTGACATTATCAGGGGGCTGGACTAGTTCCCCCAAACATACACACATGGCCAGTTCAGCACATGACAGAAGTACAGCATCATTAATCTTTACAGAAATGGAAATCCAAACTACAATAAAACATCAGTTCACACTCAGATGATCATTTCCATTTTAAACAAACTATTAGCAAAAATGTGGAGAACTCACCAGTGACAACTGTTCAGTCCCTGTAAGAAACAGTATGACAATTCCTCAAAATTATAAACATAACCACAGAGCAGGGGCTGGAGCTCAGCTGGTAGGGTGCTTGTTTCGCACATGCAAAGCTCTGAGTTAGATCCCAGAACCACATAAAACCAGCACTCAGGAAGATGAGGACTTCAGGGTCACCACCCTGGGATACACTGTCTCAAAAAAGGAGGCCAGGCTACAATATGATTCAGCAGTTCCATTTTTAAGCATATATTCAAAGGAACTATAAACAAAGACTCAAAGAAATATCTGCATATCCATGTTCACAGACACATTCTTTACCATGGCCAAAGTGGAGAAGCAATGCATCCACAAAATTTCAGTTGAAGACCAGAAAAGGGAAAAAAATCAGGAGATGAATGGTAGTTATAACTGTAAATAATGTACCTAATGAGAAAAGTGCACCCCTAAAAGCAGTTGAAATAATCACCTTTATACTGTGCATTTTTCACAATTCACACACAAACTGGAAAATGTCCTATTCGAAGTCAGCAAAAGGTAAAGTAGCTTACCAATGTTTAAAAAATCCCTAACATGACAGTTTTCATTTCTAGCTGGGAAGTAGGTCGATTGCTATTAAATGCTGTGTTGATAAAATCTCTATGCTTCTTTCATAAACAAAGAAATACTAAAAGATTCCTGGGCCAAGGCTGCCAGTTAAGGCTGTAATCCCAACTCTCTAGAGGATAAGGCTTGCGCTGCTAGAAGGAGCTCAAGAGGAGCCTGGGAGACTCTTTAAAAAGCAAAGACTTTCAGCCAGGAGAGGTGGCGCACGCCTTTAATGCCAGCACTTGGGAGGCAGAGGCACATGGATATCTGTGAATTGGGGACCAGCCTGGTCTACATAGTGACTTCCAGACCAGCCAGGACTACAAGAGAAACTCTGTCTCAAAAACAACAACAAAAAACAAAGACTCTCTAGCTGGGAAGTGACTGGCCATGGTGGCCATAGCGGACTGGGAATTAAGCAGGTGATCTTCACTCTCCTTACTGTCCCCATTTCCAATCCCCCATCTCATACATAGTCTCACAGCACACCACCTGGAGGGGCTAGCCTCCCTCTCTGGCTTCACTCCTGGGAATTCAGGTGAGCTTCATGGCACACCCAGCTTTCCTCCTGCCTGTGGACCATATTAGCACCCCTTCTAGGCCATCCCTATTCTTTTCTGCCAGCCCC